CCCCCACCCTTTCAAGTTCATTCTAGTTTGGTTTAATTTTTTTTTTTTTGGGTGGTATTTAGAAGTACTTTTTTTTTTTTCTTTTTTTTTTTTTTTTTTTTAATAATTTTTTTTTTTTTTTTTTTTTTTTTTTTTTTTTTATCTCCCTCTAGCACATCTCTTTTCTTGCAGCTCCCAGAGCAGCGCAGTCCCTCCAGGGCAGAGGGGGAACTAGCTGCCATTATCCATTACTGACTGCTGCCCTGCCCTGGGGAGTCAAGTTGCTACTGGTAATTAAAAACAGTTAATAGTTCCCCTAGTAGTGTACATTATTGTAGATAATAATGACCGACCCTTCCCACATTCTGTCGCAGAGGAAGTGGAATTTCAGCAACGTATTCACAATTTCACAAAGTGGTTTGGTTTTTTTCTAATACTTTGCTCTTCTTGTCAGTCTCCAGGAGTTCCCAAATCTAGTCTAAGAACCTCTCCTCTTGTTTAAAGAAGCTTTCATTTCTAGTAGTGTCCATTTTGCTAGTCAGCCTGGGGACTTTGATGTGCATTGTTCTGGCGAGCCTTGTCCTATTTGTTTAGAATTGCGTTTATCTTTTAGTAGGACTCATAAATGATCACATGTCCTCCAGGAGTGTGGGTGTTGATGTTAGGTAGTCTCAAGACAATTGTGCTACATGCCTTCCACTTTAAAGAAAAGAATTATATGGGTTTGAAAATGTGGCATATACATGCACATAAAAAAGTCCATGTAAAGTAGGCCAACATAGAACTGATTAGTTTCACCTTTATGTTTTTTAATAAATATTGAAGTAACTCCTGTATAAAAGAGGGTTAATAATTCTTCTGCCCCTCATGGGGTTTGCAGTTTCCTGAGATCTGTAGAGAGGAGTGAGAAATGCCAGTTATCATTGCTGTATTTCCTCTTACTGTGCAGGCACAGTGTTTGGCTGACACACTGTGAAATGTGTACCAGCTCTCAACATGTTTTCACTTTCAAGGGTTGTTCAAAAATTCCTTTTCACAGCTGGTCTGGGGAAAAAAATGTTCAGAAACCATTGACATCAGAAGGATCTGTCATTGTCATGACAGTCTTTTCTGCGCTTTTGTTTCAAGCCTTTGCAAAGAGGCTACTGAAATCATAGAATCATAGAATGGTTTGGGTTGGAAAGGGCCTTAAGATCCAGGAACACCACACACTAAACTATGTCGCCCAAGGCTCTGTCCAGTCTGGCCTTGAACACCGCCAGGGTTGGAGCATTCACAACTTCCTTGGGCAACCTATTCCAGTGCCTCACCTCCCTCACTGTAAAGAACTTCTTCCTTATATCTACTCTAAACTTTCCCTGTTTAAGTTTGAACCCATCACCCCTTGTCCTACCACTACAGTCCCTAATGAAGAGTCCCTCCCCAGCATCCTTATAGGCCCCCTTCAGACACTGGAAGCTGCTCTGAGGTCTCCACGCAGCTTCTCTTCTCCAGGCTGAACAGCCCCAACTTTCTCAGCCTGTCTTCACACGGGAGGTGCTCCAGCCCCCTTATCATCCTCGTGGCCTCCTCTGGACTTGCTCCAACAGCTCCATGTCCTTTTTATGTTGAGGACACCAGAACTGTACACAATACTCCAAGTGAGGTCTCTCGAGAGCAGAGTAGAGGGGCAGGATCACCTTTGACCTGCTGGTCATGCTGCTTTTGATGCAGCCCAGGTTGGCTTTCTGGGCTGTGAGCACATGCTGCTGGCTCATGTTCAGTTTCTCATCAACCACCACCCCCAAGTCCTTCTCCACAGGGCTGCTCTGAATATCTTATCTGCCCAACCTATAGTTGTGATATTGATAGCTTTCTGCTTTGTGAGACATAACATTATAGTGGGGCAGTCTGTGTATGCTTTCTAGGTTCCCAAAACACGTGTGGTTTAGATGCCTTTCATATATTTTAATACAAAGTGGCTGGTTGAGTGCTCCGTGTTCTCCCAGAGGAACCAAAACTCACTTAATGGATCAAGAGAATACAGGGCTATAAGGCAGTTTACCATTCAGGCTATTGCAGAGGAGGGTGATTTAAAATGTTGTAGTGGCTTGAAAAGAAAATAAACAAAACTCAAAGAAAAAAAAAACAACCCCCAAAGCAGTGATTGAAAGGCTTGAAATGGCTGAGTTAATGTGATAACTCTCCTTTTTCTCTGTTGGGTCTCTTGCGGAGGTGGTTATGCACAGTTAATGTATTTTGCTGAGCTCAATGGTACCTGTTTGTGGGACTTGCTTTGAAATTAAGAGTGAGAGATGGTTTATTTAAGAGACAGCATTTAAAGAATGAGTTTCTGATGAGGCAAGTTAGGTGTTAAACACTTTACAGGTGAACCGTTTACTTATGTAATTATCGTTTGCATTATAATAAATGTTTCTCCAGGGAGTTTAGCCAATCATGAAATGCAGTTAATTTTCAAATGCTCTTCAGCAACAGTTGGCACTCCAGAGACTGAAATCTCTAGTCAAAGTGTGCATTTTCAAACTCTCCTGCTAAAGGAAAGCTGTTTCAGCTCAGTTGATTGTGCCGTTGTTTAATTCCAGGGATTTTCTTAAGTGTTTCATGCATGTTTGTCACTGCAAGTCTGGAATGCTGGGCTTGATACCCAGGTTGTGTAGGCCTACTATCTCGCCTTAGTCTCCAGAGCACTGAAGAGGTTCATGATGAGGTTCTTCAAATTAATGCCAGAACTGCATCCAGCTCTTGCAGCCCCAACACAAGAGGTACATGGACCTGCTTGGGTGAGTCCAGAGGAGGCCACGAAGGTGCTCCCAGGGCCTGGAGCACCTCTGCTATGGAGAGCTGGGCTTGTTCAGCCTGGAGAAGTCTCCAGGGAGAACTTAGAGCAGCTCCCAGTGCCTAAAGGCACTACAAGAAACCCAGAGAAGGGCTTTGGACAAGGGCCTATAGGGACAGGACAAGGGGAAATGGCTTTCACCTGCCAGAGGAGAGACTTGAGACAGGTTGGACAGGGCTTGGAGCATCCCTGCCCGTGGCCAGGAGTTGGAACTGTATGCGCTTTAAGGTCCTTTCCAACACAAACCAGTCTGGGATTCTCTGAAGACTCACTTTGTTGAAGATGGAGGAGTTTAAATGGTCTTGGTTTCTCTGATTGCTATTGATAATGGCCAGGGCATGTAGCCAGCTGTTTTGCAGTTTGACCATCAGTAAAAGGGGAGTAACATAAATCTTATGTCTCTAAGGTGAGGAGGATGTGGAGATCTATGGGTGGAAGGGGCTGGTTGATGACTATGGAGTATCTGGATGGCAGTCCAAGTATCATGCTGCTTAAGTTTACTTAATTCACTTTCCAACCTAAATGTTGTTACAGTCACATTTGTTCTAAGTCTTATTAGTGCACTGATCTGATAAACTAATCTGTGGAATTTCACCTTTTACAACTGTACTTGGTCCAACTTAATTTTTTTTGTGGCATTCAGTTTTCAGATGAATTGCTGCTGTGGTTGTAGTGGGGACCTCCAGTTGAATGGAGCCAGCCTTTTAAAGGTGGAAAGGAATAAAGTGATGTTATTAGCCCTCACCCACCCCAAACAGACCTGTTCCTGCACAACTTCTCCATTTTTTCAGATGTTAAGCCTTGGGCCCCAGTGCAGATCCTGTTCCAGCCACACTGGTGGCAGAGGATGGATGGGCTGGGGTTGAACAGGGCTTACAGAGGCTGCAGAGGCTCTCCAGCCCCCAGCAATCACAGAGCAGCAGCAGTGGAATCTGCATGTCTCGCCTATTTGGAGGTTGAAGAGGAGGAAGAGCTTTTATCCTTTCATGCTTGCAAAATTCAGTGTAGGAAGGGTCTTGCCAGTGATATTCTCTCTTCATAGCAAACAAATAAAACCACTTGGGTTGACTTTGTGCATTTTCCTATGGCTTTCTCTTCAGCTAGGGTAAGGAGGAAAAGAAGCTTTACTTACAGATGTTGTTTTCAGAATGCATCCAGCATGATATTATCTGTAAGCACATCTTTGGGCATTGGACGTCTTTCATTTATTTAGATACAGTAGAAAGATTGTCTGATATGAGAAGGAATACTTGACAAATTCCTGTGCTGTGTTTTCTTGCCTTGGACTACATATGCAGTTCAAAATTAGTTCACATCTGCTGTTCTATCATCCTGCTATTTCCAGCACAATACTAGCACTTTGATTTTGACCAGCAGATTTTGTTACTTGCTGTTTAAACTGACCTCTAAATAGAAGAAACTGGAATGCTCTGGGCCTTCTGTCTTGTTCTTGGAGGTGTCTGAGTCTGAACCTGGTGGGATTCAGGTCTGAGCTACTAGAACTGTTGATGTGTTCCGTATAAAAACAGGACAACTAGTGGGTTTCGGGCAGCGTGGGTTTTGTAAGCACCTGTGTTTCGTAACACAGATCACAGTCAGATCATTATGTTGATCTAAACCTTTTTGTAATCCTCTATGATCTGGGTTTAGAGACTGTTATTGGTGTCACGAATAAAAGCTTGTGACTTCTTTAGTTCTTGGGATAAAAGAAGACACGTATTTTCAGAGAATGACACATTAAAACTAAAACAATGTAAAAATGCAGTAAATTGAGGATATTTATCCCACTTTTCAAGACTGAGTCCTGAACTCACAAGAATGCAAGAGAAGAAATTTGATTAAAATTAATTTCATAGTCAACCATGTACTGAAGAAGCCAAGGTAAACCAGGAGCCCAAGGCATGAAAGAGTCTTAAAATTCTTTCTTTCTCAGTAATGTAAAGCTTTAAACATGGCTACAAGGAAGTGTATCCTTTTTTGGTTTTTAAAACTGAACATATAGGAAGGAAACCCCTTTTTACCCAGATACGTCTCAGATTTAGAAATAGAAATGGATGGAGTGCTACTTAAGAGTTCTGTTTTCTCACAAACTATTTTCTGATCTCATGAAAAGCTTCTTCGAAACGATGCTGATGGATCAGATACCCTGATTTCAGCTGTTAGCATTCACGATTGTGTTAACTAGCCTGGTAACTGGTATGTTCCCACTCCAGACAATCAGCAGCTTCCAGCCTCCCTTATTGAGCGTAAAAGCAGAGGAGGATGTAGGAAGTACAGCAGGTAACCCTGTGATGGATGCAGCTCTGCTTTGGCCTGAACCCTGCAGGGGTCAATTGGATATTGCCTCTGACAAGCATCCTGGTCCTCATCTCTTGCTGTTGGATTTCTGTCTGCAGTTACCTGAAGGAATTCCGCACAGAACAGTGCCCTCTTTTTGTGCAGCACAAGTGCACTCAGCACCGGCCCTACACTTGCTTCCACTGGCACTTTGTCAACCAGCGTCGTCGCAGATCTATCCGCCGTCGGGATGGTACATTTAACTACAGCCCTGACATTTACTGTACCAAGTATGATGAAACCACAGGAATCTGCCCAGAAGGAGATGAGTAAGTAAAGACTGTGCGCTGCTTTTCAGGCACTAGGCTTTTGGTATCAGACCAGGTGATGATTCCAGCCGGTTCTTGTAGAGATGAGGTAAGTCAGCAGTAAAGCAGCTTTGTAACCCACATAACATGAAAACAGATGTGAATTCTGTAATAGTAACCTGTGCACTCCAGGCCTGCTGCAGAGATGGTGCTAAGGGTGACTTAGATGGGAATTCAGCTCTTGTGTCATTCTCTGTCCTTGACATTCTGAGAGAAGCTGAGGTGGGAAAAAGAGCTCGGTGATGAATGGACTGACTCTGTTCCTCTAAGCCCGTGGCTGTCAAATGATCACTCTGGGTTACTAGCAGGGTAGCTTAGTTTTTTTTATTCACAGGTTGAAGAAAGAGAAGAAGCTTTGTCTTCTAGTCTGCCCCCTGAATTATCTATCCCCATGCTTTTTAAATCAAATCATACTTGTCAGTTTATTTCCTGAACTTTTAAGAAGCTAGTTAGGAAATTACAGGTATGCAGAATAAGGCTATATGAGGAAGAGTCTGTTTTATTGGGTCTTCTCTCCCCATGACTGCAGGAAGTTTAGCTGAAGCAGACATGCAAGAGTTTCTGCTATGCATGTGGTACAGTCCAGCAATTAAGGGTTAACTCAGTAATATAACTTTAGCCATGTGACAGATATGGAAGAATAAATAGCATTGCCAAACTGTGGTCAAATATAGGGAGTGGTTTATATAGTGATGCTATAGAAAGATGGAATTTCAGTTCCCTTTCATGGTGCCAATATAAACATACAGAAAATGCTATTTGTCAGGAAAACAATATTTTTTTTACCTCATTAAGTAAAGATCTTGTGACTCCAACAGAATGGAATAATCCTCCAGCCTGGAGCCTCTGTTTCAATACTTTCTTTTTCATTAGAAGAGAACTGGAAGGAAGGGACTGGAAATAGGATATTTGAGGGCTTTGGCTTCTAGATCACTGGTTCATATCTGGCTCAAACTCAGTGAATGAAAACTGTTGCCATCTCGGAACTTTGCTGATTTGTATTTTTTGCATTTTTAGCTTGATGCTGCAATATCTAAACTTTACCTATTCCATCTTGGGTTTTTTTTGGTTTAATTTTATTTCTCAGTGTAGCTTGTTCAGCCTAAGAGGGGAAACAAAACAGAAGCTGTAACAGTAGTGTTGTAATTCTCCTTTCTTGTCCCATGCTCTGCATAAAGGATACGTTTGGCTATAGGTAGCCTGTTGCAGCCCTGTAGGACTACATTAGCAGGAAACAGTAACAGCACAAAGTCTAGATGGGCTGCTGAGGAAATGGTATGTGCCATGTGAAGTCTCTTCAATCACAGCTAGTATACTGGAACACCTTGGCAATGTCCTTATTCTTTTCCAGATCCCTAACAGGCATTAGACTAGAATAAGAAGCTGCTGCTGTCTTAATAATCCAGTTGTCTTTTTAGGAGGGGAAACTGTTATACACCGTGTAGTGACAGGTTTAGTGGTTCTGCGTAGTGTTGGAAGACACAGCATAAGACAAAGAGCAGAGATAGCAAAGGTAGTGTTAACTGCAGTATCCTGTAGTAGCAATAAGTCTTGTGGGAGTGTTCAGTCTGTCACCTGTGTGACTAAACTTCATCTGTTCTTCCCCTCCTTCTGTACCTCAGATGTCCCTTCTTGCACAGAACTACTGGAGACACAGAGAGGAGGTATCACTTGCGCTACTACAAAACTGGAATCTGTATTCATGAGACAGACTCCAAGGGAAACTGCACAAAGAATGGAGTCCACTGTGCGTTTGCTCATGGGCCCCATGACCTACGCTCTCCGGTGTATGACATCAGGTTAGTAGAGGTTGGGGATCTGCATGAAAAAAGTAATTTCTGTACCCCAATGAAAAGTCAGATGATCATAGGACAGTACCGCTTCAGCATAAATTGCTTAGTGCTGGCGTGGTGATGATATATCCCTTCCTAGTAAGGCAAATCTAAAAAATCTTCAGGGAGGATACTCAAAATAGGGGAAGGGAGCACACTTTAAACTACTTGTGTTGTGGTTTGGAGTCTGATGGGAGGGGTCAAAATAATGAATGAATGAAGAACATGTATTGCAGTTGTTGTTTGTCTTAAGATATTCTGACAAAAATGCATGAATGAAATGCACCCAGTTAGGAATTGTTACAATGGTCCAGTTTTTATACACGTTTACCTGTCTCGTCATCTGCTCAGACAGTATGTTCGTTTAACTCTCTCCACAAAGGGAGCTTCAGGCGATGGAGGCTTTGCAGAATGGTCAGACCACATCTGAAGGCAGCATGGAGGGTCAGTCTGCAGTTGCTGCTAGCCATGCTATGATAGAGAAGATACTCAGTGAGGAACCAAGGTGGCAAGGTGAGTGTCAGTTGGGGTCTGTGGGGCTGGGAAAGTCTGGTGTTTGTGGAGTGCCCACTCCTGTAAAAAACTTTGTATAGTAAATATAGATCACGGTCAGCTCCAATTAACTGGTTGCTTCTTTTGTAGATACAACGTATGTCTTGGGAAATTACAAGACAGAGCAATGTAAGAAACCCCCCCGACTCTGTCGCCAGGGTTATGCCTGTCCCTACTACCACAATAGCAAAGACAGAAGAAGAAGCCCAAGAAAACACAAATACAGGTACTATGTTCCTGGATGTTCTATTTCCCAGCCGAGTGGTGAGGTGTAGTAGAAATGTGTAATGAAAGATTTAGGATTTTATTTACTAGATAGTTTTTTAGTGTGCGTCCAAGGCCTGTACAAAGAGATGGGATGGACTGTTTCTGTGTAGGAGAAGGGTAACAAACTAAATAAGGAATTTTCCTGTATATAGGAACCAATCTCTATAAATGACTTGCTAAATCTTGTTACAATTCTGATTTTATAGCAAACAGAACCTGTATCTGGTTTCCTCTTACCATATAAACTCCTACTTTAGAAAGCAGTGTGGGAAAAGGAGGCAACAGAAACTTTTAATAGAATCACAGAATCATAGAATAGTTAGGGTTGGAAAGGACCTTAAGATCATCTAGTTCCAACCCCCCTGCCATGAGCAGGGACACCACACACTAAACTATGTTGCCCAAGGCTCTGTCCAGCCTGGCCTTAAACTCCTCCAGGGATGGCGCATTCACAACTTCCTTGGGCAACCTATTCCAGTGCCTCACCACCCTCACTGTGAAGAACTTCTTCCTTATATCTAACCTAAAGTTCCCCTGTTTAAGTTTAAACCCATTACCCCTAGTCCTACCACTAGAGTCCGTACTGAAGAGTCCCTCCCCAGCATCCTTGTAGGCCCCCTTCAGATACTGGAAGGCTGCTATAAGGTCTCCACGCAGCCTTCTCTTTTCCAGGCTGAACAGCCCCAACTTTCTCAGCCTGTCTTCATCTAGAAACAAACACAACCATGTTTTCATGGTAAAGGATTTGGAATCCTCAAGCTGCTTGTTGTGTGTGCCTGGTGATGGGGATCATGAGGCACAGTGTGACCAGCAGTGTAGCTGGACATGTATTCCTGACCAGCTGCTGGAGACTCTGCTGTGGAGGCACCAGGGTTTTCTGTCAACTCAGCTGTCGCTGGATTTTTTGGCATGCTGTGTCTGCCTGAGCGCATAGGGAGTTATAGGCCCTCATTTCCTCCAACATAACAGAGCTTTTGTTGTGATCTCAGTGGGGCTTTTCCTTAGTTCCTTTTTGAAAAGCATAAAAGCAAACCAGAAAGCCAGGAGAGAATATACCTTGGGTGTTCTCACTTCCTTCCCCACCCCCAGCATTGGCGGAAATTTTTAAATTGGCACTGAAATCCTGTATTTAAAAAGGAAAGAAAAATCAAAGGAACATTAATCCAAACACTTTCAGGAGAAAAGGAAACACTAAACCAGTCGTCAGGCAGCAGGTCTGTGCTTCCTGCCCCTGCCTGAGCCCTTTAGGAAGGGAAGAAGTGAAAGCTTCTCCCCTCCTGATCTCCACTCGTGTTGCTTTCCCCTCCCCCAGCTGATGTGGCCCCTTTCATGCAGGCATCTGTTGCTGTTATCTGCTTCCCTCTGCTGTTGTTTGAGGGAATGGTTAAAGAGCAGGGGAAGTAGGTCACATCAAGAACTCAGAGCTGGGGAAAGAGGGTGATTCCTGTCTGGGGGAAAGAAAATGGACTTCCCTTTTCCTCAGTGACCTGACTCAACCTCTTTGCCATGTGGCTGTAGTATAACCCTGGAAGCATACCACTGTAAGGGTATTTAGTGTTCTAGGATTAGCGAATTAACTTGTTTGCTTTCTATGAATGTACAGTTCTAACACGGAAACCAGACCCAGCATCTCTGACAGTAATTGCATCAGCTGCTAGTATTGTTATGTTGGTTCAGGTTGTATTTGTTTTCAGATGGAGAGTTAAGCCATGTTTCTTATATTGGAGAATTCTAAGAAGGGGAAGAAGATGCAGCATGGTGGGGGCTGGGGAAGCAGCAGCCAGCCAAACAGATAGTACAGCTGAGGGTGGGCAGCCAAACCTGCCTCCTAATTGAGAAATCCCAGAATGGTTTGGGTTGGAAGGGACATTAAAGCTCATCCAGTCTCAACCCCCTGCCACAGGCAGGGACACCTTCCACTAGAGCAGGTTGCTCCAAGCCCCTGTGTCCAAGCTGGCCTTGAACACTGCGAGGGATGGGGCAGCCACAGCTTCTCTGGGCACCCTGTGCCAGCGCCTCAGCACCCTCACAGGGAAGAACTTCTTCCTGAGAACTCATCTCAATCTTCCCTCTGTCAGTTTAAAGTCATTCCTCCTTGTCCAAAGCCCTTCTTGAGGTTTCTTGTAGCCCCTTTAGGCACTGGAGCTGCTCTAAGGTCTCCCTGGAGCCTTCTCTTGTCCAGGCTGACCCAGCCCAGCTCTCTCAGCCTGGCTCCAGAGCAGAGCTGCTCCAGCCCTCAGAGTATCCTTGTGACCTCCTCTGGACTTGCTCAGGCAGGTCCGTATACCTCTTGTGTTGAGGTCCCAGAGCTGGACACAGTGTTCCTTGTGGGGTCTCACCAGAGTAGCGAGGGAGAATTGCCTCCTTTGACCTGCCTAGAGGAAGCAAATTTCAAAGTACATTTGACTGAATTAATTTCTCACCTAAATTACTTCATCGCTTTATTTTTCTAGGTTTTGTCTAGACAATCCTGCAAGTGTTCAGAGGTGAAAAACTTCAGCTACAGCCTGTACTTTCAGTCATGGGCTCTCAGACCTTAGGCAAGCTGAAACACTGTGAGGTTGTCTGAGTCTGATGCATTCTCTTGTTACTTTCATGTACACAGATCTTCGCCATGTCCCAGTGTGAAACATGGAGACGAGTGGGGAGATCCCAGTAAGTGTGAAAATGGAGATTCATGCCAATACTGCCACACTCGCACAGAACAGCAGTTCCATCCAGAGGTACAGTAACCTGCTCGCTCTGTTTGGTAGCTGACTAGAAAAGCAAAAGCATTCCAGCCTTATGGAGGAAGTTAGTGCACCAGTTGGGAGAGAATGTGTGGGCTGCTTGCAGCATGATCCTGGGATACAAAGAAAGTGCATGTTGGAAGTAAGTTGAAATTCAGTTGCTCGACAGGGGTGTCTCTTTGTTATGTAGACTGTATGTGAGGAGGTAAAAAGAGTAGGGTAAACTCAAGTGTAAGAGCAGTCTCACGTATGGGAGGTGTCATTTTGAAAGCGTGATGGGGGTTTGTGGGTGAGCACACAGCACCTGTTCCCTTAAGGGAAAGTTCTTTGTTGATGATGGTTGTACTAAACCATAGATACCCACAGACTAGTCCCATAACCTACCAAGCTTTTAGTTGTGAGCGTGCCCACAGCATTCTAGTACCATTACAGAAAGTGTAATTAAGACCGTGTCCTAGTCTGCTTCATGTTACAGTGTTGAAAAGCTTTGTTGGCTGTGTATTGACAAAGTAATCATTGTCACCACCTGTCAAACTGGGGGGAAGGGAAATAATGCATTTCCTACAATCATTGTCAATGGTTTGTTATTTTCCTTGCAAACATGTGGCTGTAACATCTTGTGCTATCATCTGTCAGCTCTTTCCTATCTTTTCCCACTTGTAATATCCATGGAGCTTCCAGTGAAACTGAGGGACATTATGGCAAAGGGTGACCTTTGGGTTAGCTGATGTGCGATGGGTTGATCTTCGATTGAGCTCCAGCTGTGATGGGCATATTTTGGTGTTTCTGTAACTAGGTGGGTTTTCCTTTCTTTGAAACAAAGCACTGAAATTATCAGCTGAACTCTGCTGGCCTTTGCACCTCTTATCTATGTTCCTGTCTTGCTGTTGAGTCTCTTTGCAGTACTTTTGAGATGCTGGTCACTGTTCTATTCCTCTTCATGTCTTGGTTTTGTTTTTGTTTTTTCCCATCCGTAGATCTACAAATCCACCAAATGCAATGATATGCAGCAGTCTGGCAGCTGTCCCCGAGGACCCTTCTGTGCCTTTGCACATGTAGAACGTACGTGGGCTACTTCTCTCACCATTCATGGGTATTTGTGCTGTGAAGAGCTTCTGGTCAAAATAGTTTACAATATAGGGCTGCTAAACTAAAGCTGCTGTGAAGGATTTCCAGAAACAAAGTATTAACTTTGTTAAGTCCTATAAAACCATGCTAGTGTGGGAGGTGCTGGCAAAGCTGAAGGCAGTAAGTCGTCTATAGGACTCAGCCCTCGGCTCTCTCTGCACTGTACTGTCTCTTAAAGTTCTGTCTTATTTGCTCAGGTCTCTCTATGTCAGTTCAGGAGGATGGAAACAGTGAAAGCTGCTCCTTTTCTGTGCATGGGTGAACAGTACTTAGCTAAGTTGCAAACTGTTGTATTTTAAAAAGCTGAGGTTAAAACTGCTAATTATAGATACTGATCCATTTTAAAAAGCAAATACTATTCTACTACTTGTGAAGTTTTACTTAGAGTTTAAATCTTTAAGTCAGGTTGAAGAAATAAAATATGCAGCTGTTCTTGTCTGCTTTTCCTTAAATCTTCTTTTTCTCAATAGCTCCCTGATTTATAGGGAATTATTTCAATCCTCACTTGCATTATCTGTAAACTAGTGATGCCATTTTGGTTGTAGTTGTTCTGTGTTCAGGTGGGTACTAACGTTCATAGATAAATGGTTAGCTCCTGATCCTGTGGCTCCTACTCGTTTTCTGCACTCCAGTCTCGCAGCAGTTTGAATTTGCAGCAGTTAGGGAAGGTTACTCAGAAGTCAATAGATTGGCTCTTGTACTGACTCACTATGTGGCCTTGAGCAAATCTCTGTTGTTTGATTATCCTTTGTAAATGGTGGAATTAGTAATTGCTGCCTTTGTCAAGGAATGGTGAGAGTAAATTCCCGACAGGTTATGCAGTTCCTTTTGTAAGAAGCCTTTTCAACAAGCAGTAATTATAGCTAGAGCTGTGGGCTGTAATGGCCCAGAACACAGTAGTGCAGCTACACAGTACAATCCAGAAGGCTTAAGAGAGAATGAGATCTTGATAAAGAAACAATGTCTAGCAAACTCCCTTGTGTGTAACATAATATCTTTGTTTAGGAGATGCATTATTGCTAACAAGATTACCACATGTGATACTATACTACTTTAAAGCCAGAGGAACATTCTGTAGCACTTAGGTCATTCCAACCTGGTTATTTCTTGTGCTGTTTTATGGAATTATATCTTTTAGTCCTCTTTAGCAAGGTGAACACTGAGGGACTTAATTAAAATAACAGTCCATTTACTACATCTGCTCTTGGCATGAGCTTTACTGATTATTAGCAAGAAACCTGTTGAAACCGATACTTAACATACAGGCATAGCATCGGTTATATAGCTTATGTAAAGATGTCTATAGCATCTCTACTTTACCTTTCAAGCCAATGACATTTTCTTTTTGCGTATGCCTTCCAATGTATGTTACCCCTATGTATTTTTGGGGTAATGGTTTGTACTGAGCACAGATAGAAAATGTACTTCCCTCAGCTGATTATAATGCACTCATCAACTTTTGTGCCTAGCAGCGAAGGAAGCTCTGCTTAGTTCAAGACAGCTGAGTGAATAACACACAATTCATGCAAGGAATATAATTTTGGAGCAGCATCAATGGACTAAAGAGCAGCACAATGTACTAGTGACAGTAATAATGTAAGGAAAATTAGATAAGTAGTAGCCATTTGCCAGATGAGGTTCCTCTTTGCTTTTATACTTTATAAGTAGGTGCTTATGGAATGTTTCTTCTCTCAAGAATATCTAGGTAATATTGTTTCTAAACATCTCGTGCTCCACTCAATTGTACAGCTTTGAGTAACGTCCCATGTGTTTTCATTTCTTCCAGAGCCTGCGCTCAGTGAAGATTTACAGCAATCCTCAGCTGTGTCAAGCCCAACACAGACAGGCCCTGTGATGTACATGCCGTCAGCAGCTGGGGATTCTGTTCCAGTCAGCCCTTCCAGTCCACATGCCCCAGACCTTAGCAATGTATGTAGCACTGTGGGGTAGCCTCTTCCATATTTTATAAATCTCAGCTTTTCTGAGTCACTTCTTTCTCCCAAAAGGAGAAATTTTAAGTATGTAAAAGCCCAAAGGATGTAGTATTTTTCTTTTAGATCTCAGCTGCACACTTCTTAGTGGGATCTGTTTGCTTGGAACATACAATTCAGTGGCTTTAGTATTGTCCTCTCACCTGTAAAATTTCTAAGCCTTCCTTTCTGTGTTGAGTTTGCTGATGTACTTTCCTGAAAATAGAATATATCTGCACATGAAGTCCAACTCCTTCCTGTCTAGAGGTACATATTGGGCTTAGTTTCCAAGTTACCTAATGAAAGGCTGTGAGACATTATTACTTCTAAAGTACATAGCTACATTTGTTTACATTTGAGTTTGTTTACATATGTAATTCAGAGGCTTAGCCTGTGCATACTGTGTGTTGCATTATAGGATATCCTCAATTCCTTCCCTCTCCTGCATCTAGAAGTAGCTAAATCTGGAATATGTTTCAGTAATGCCCCAGATAGCTGGTGATACTTTATTTGTACATACAAGAATGGATGGAGATCTTTAAATGCTAAAGGTGCACAGAACTAAGAAGCCTGCAGAACACTAGACCACTCCATTTTTGCAGAATGCTGGGTTTTTTTTTTCGTTAAGTCTTTCCTGTTTGCACTACTGTTGGTAAGGTAAGGTGTGCAACCTTTTCAGGTCGTTGGTTGAGGCTTTGAGAAGGTAAAATGACATGAGTTTAACTCATTTGAAACCAATCGAATGAGGTGAACTCATTTAGGACATCTGCTTTGTCTTATTCCCCTTCTTTGAAAAGAGAAGCTGATAGTTTGATTTTATTAGTGCAAAACCAACCTGACAGTTCATTGTACTCCTGAATTTGATTGCAGCTAGAATCTCAAACAGATCTTGAAAAGTCTGAGCATATTATATTCTCTCACTGAATAACACTGTGGAAAACAGAAAAAACCAAAACACCTTCATCTTAGGAGTGTATCATCTAAATTCTCTGAAAACTGCAGTGAAATTGGAGATTCCAATTCCACTTAGAATTAAGACAATTCCACTTAATAGACAGTTTAGATCTTTTCTATCTTAAGCTCTTGGTCTTTCAAACAGTCTTTCCTAATCCTTGGATATATGCCAAATGGCAACACATGTCTTTCTGTGACTTCATCGCTCCACGGGGCATCTGCATGTAGCTTGCAAACAAATACGGCTTTGCTGGTGATAATTTTCCATGATGAATTAATAAGAGAAAGAGGTCCCTCTAGCAGCCAGCCTCACATGGCCTGTTCTGTTTTGTATTTGTACTGTAGGTGTGGAATAAATCAGGAACTCTGCCAACTAGCCCCACCTCCACCACAGTGAGTAGTATCTTTGTGACTGTAGGGAAGTGTGGACAGCAGAATGTCTGTATAAAAATAAAATCAAAACATTTGTAGGATGCTCCTTCTATTTAATGCCAGCCCAGACTGTGCCACATTTGAATCTGTGGTAGCAGTAGCTGTCTAAATGATGTCTGAAGCACAGTCATGCTTGCCAGTGCAGGCAAATAATTTCTTGTCCCAGAGAAATGAGATATCTGCATTGATCCAGGTAGGCGCTTTCTCTAAAACTCAGTCTCCTTTGCTGCTGTCTGTGGCTTCATCTACAGTGCAAAACTAGCCTTGTTGCATGAGATCATGATCCCTGGTTTTAGTCCTAAGAATAGAACTGTTGGAAATTCTTGGGGTTTTAATGCAGCTGTTAATACTTGCTTGTACTTGCATTAAAACTGTCAGATTTCCAACTAGAAAGCAAAAGTTACAGTATTACACATAGCTCAGATGTGCTTGGTTGTTTTGATTGCCACAGCACCTTTCCAGGTTTCACACTACTACTATTCAGAGTGCAGACAGAATCCACTCTACCCTCAGGAAAAGGAAGAGAGTTTTGATCAGGTTTGGGAACTTGATCAGTCACATCTGAGGCCTCAAAAAGAATAAACTAGAGCTTAGGTTGGATTTTGTAAGACTGCACTCCAGTATGAACTAACGACAATAAAACCATAATTGTGGGACTGTATAAATCCAGTATTGATGGAGTTTTTTCCTGGTTTATAATTAACATTTACTGGAAGCTCGTATGTTTGTGTTGACTGTCAGTATAATCGATGCACAAACAGTGAAGTGAATGAGTTCTTCTATGGGATGCCTCCCCTCTTCAAGTCATTGATGCTGCTGGCTGAACTTTCTTGACATTTGTTCCTTCTATTAGATTCTTTGTAGGAACAGCAGTCTCGGAAGCCCATCTAATATATGTGGGTCTCCTCCTGGTGCCATTGGAAAGCCACACAGCTTGGAGACCATTGGTTTTCCTCCAGATTCGGTAACAGCAGCCGGCAGCTACAAGAAAGCACCAGGGTTTGAGCGAGAAGATCAGGTGGGGGCCGAGTATTTGAAGAGTTTCAAATGCCAGGTTAGTAGGGAATATTGGCTGGAAGAGTTGGGGGTATGAAGAAGAATGAGAAATTGCCTAGTCTAGCTTGAATGTATTTTTTATTTTTCAAGAAACAAAAATGAGAAAGCACTGTTCTCATTAGCGGTTTTAAGATCTTTGCTGTTGCTTTCAGCCTCCCTTCCAGTCTCTTCCATCTTCCATCTGTTCTTGTCTGCCTTGCTGCCATCACACATGCAGTTTGTAGAAGTCAAGCTGCTGCTTGTTTTCCTAATCCCCCAGTACTTCTGTCCTGTGTTGACCCTGGGTAGCTTCCCACATATCACTTTTTGTTTTCTTTTTCCTTATTTAGGTCCTTGCCAAGAGTTGCTGTTTCTTTTGCTGTATTGTCTCATGGAAACTCATCCTTCCTTCTGTGTCCTCACTCCAAACTCTTACCTTGATCTCTGTGACTTGGTTTGTCTTCTGTTTTCACCATTCGTTTCTCCACTGTATTAGAAATGTCATGTTAGTTGTCTCTTGTTTCTCTAGCTGTATCATGCTGGTCCTTGGCTCTTTCCTGTGGCTTCTGTATTAAATTTTAATTCCTTATTCTCATTTGAAGAACCCTCTGCAATCTTACCCCACCCACATCTCTTAATGACATTCCCCCTTATCCCTTTTGGATATTTCAGTCTTGCCTTGCTGCTTCCTCAGTCTTCTCTTTCTTGGTGTCACACCTTACTCAGACTGCTCCCTAAGCCTAGAACAGTTTCTTCCATCTCTTCTGCCATGCATGATCTTTTCCACAGTCAACTTCTTATTGTGAATTTCCCTTCTTGATGTTACAATTAATAGTTTCTCTGCACCCTCCCTTCCAAGTCAGCTGAGCTCAGGTCTCAGTTTTTATTCCTCACTGGGTTTGTAATTGTAATGGAACAACATCTCGATTCTGGGGAAGGAATAGCTACTTTTATGAAGAGGTGCCTGCAAAAATATTTCCTAGAAGTTCTTGGGGGGGAAAAAACATAATTATATATTATTCCTTTATATATATATAAAGGAATATATATTATATATAATTA